GAAAGTTGTTATTTCAGACTGTTGAGGTCGGGGTTAGTCAGAATGACATCATCATACGCAAGGTTCATGTTTTATATCAAGAAGACTTTGGGATATATTGGACGAGGTTTGGGCGTGTTCGTGACGGAAGTTTTCGTGGTTGCATGCGAGACATTGAAATCAATAAAGAAAAATTTGATCTAACAAAATCAACGTACGCTGGAAATGAACTAATTAGTTTTTGCTCTATTGATAATAACGCATCTGAATACAGGGAAGAGGATTGTTTTCTTTAATGTTTCAACATTTTTAGACATTCCGTTGGCATTGTTGCTGGATGTCAGAGGGAAGAACAATGCCGACCAAACCCGTGCCAGAATGATGGGAAATGCATTGATGAATGGAACAGTTTTTACTGCGAATGTAAGCGACCGTATTTACCACCGTACTGTATTCAGAAGTTAGAAGAAGTGACGTTTGGTAATGAAAATATGTCTTCCCAACTGCAATATGATATTGCAAATGATTCTGATGACGTTAAAATGGAAACCGATCTGAGCTTTCTTTTAAGAACTAATAAGCCTGATGGATCAGTTTTATATATTGGAGAAAAGGTAGATTTCATGCAATGATTTAGAATTTGCGATGTATTAATGTTGATAAAGTGAGCAAAGTAGCTGGATAAGGGAATTAGTAGGTTTTAAACAAATCAGTGAAAGTAAATATCGTGATTTTTTTGACTTCTGTGCTTTTTTAGGCATATTTTCTTATGTAAATTTGTATAATTTTTTGGAACAATAGGATTTTTTCAACAGAAAATTTAGTAAGAGTTGGCGATTTGGAGACATCTTTTGCAGCATCTTATGAAAAATTAAGTTCTAAAGATTTGTAAAGATCTTCTAAGCGTATATGCTGCTTTTTTGTTTTGACAGTTAGCTTCCTTAGCTGTTATTCAGTAAGACAGCTTATGACTGCTGAAAACCAGTTGTAAAAGCGTTTCTTTTGCTAATTTTTTGTGCACAATAATATATATATATAATAACATCGCCTCTATAAATAACTTTTTTTTTTTACTTTACAGGACCTTAACGATTTCGGTACATTTTTGTCATTATTTTTAAATGGGGGTTTGTTACAAGTAAAAGCTCGGCTTGGTGGAAAAAATATTTTTTCGAGTGTCTGTCCAGGACGTGTCGACAATAATCACGTTCATCTAATAAGATTATCTAGAAACCGGAACAATATCAGTGTTTGTGATTTATTATTCATTATAAACTGACAGATTTTTACTGTATTTTTAACAAGAATTTATATTTCTTATTTTAAGTTGTCATTTTGGAAAAAAGTGCATTTTATAGAAACTAAGAAACTTCCTGTTACAAGTAGTACTTGAAAGTAGGAAACATATTTTCTGTTTGAATGAGTATATGCCGAATAAGTTAGCTGAGTTGGAAAGTAGTTTTTTGCATCCACAATATCTAGTTTTTTTAATAAAGATTTGCCATGACATTTCTAGTTGACGTTCGCTCCTCTTAGGCTGAAACTTACCCTCGTACAATAAACTATAAAATGAAAGTGATCAAACAATCAAAAATTATTGTTTTTTGAAGCTTGAAATTGTACCAGCTGAAAAACGTCGGTGAAAGTTTCAAATTACAGTTTTGTTTACAGTTGGCTAATTTTGCTTTAAAACTTGCTTTTTTGCAGTTTTTATTTATCAAGTACATTTTTATTAAATTCATATAATACATTCTGTAAAGTAATTTATATGGTTCTAGGCAGAAATTGATGGAAAAACCTGCCTACGTTTTGAAATAACTAACCGATTTGATCATCCGTTGCTGGCAGACGCGTTAATCGTTGGTGATGCAGAAAATGCACCTAAGGAAGCTTTCGAAGAAGATAGCTATTTTAAAGGCACGATACAAGACTTACAAATTAATGGAAAGTCTGTAGCTCTATTTGAACCAGTAGCTAACATTACAACCTTAGGTGTTCAAATCGTAAAGCGTAATATTTTGAAGGTTAGATATTATTCTTTCTGCGTTAACAGTGAAGGTTCAGAAGTTTGATACACTGAAGAGACGGTGTTTTTAGGGAACTGTATCAGATGACGTTTGCGGTAAACATAACCTTTGCGTTAATGGTGGTTGCATAAATACCTTTAACGATTTTGAGTGTTCTTGCGAGTTCTCCTGGACTGGTAAAAAATGTGACGAAAAAGATCACTGCGCTGTATCATCTTGTGGGAGATTTTCTACTTGCACCAATTACAAAGGAGGATACACATGTAAGTAACTTGCTTCTTTGCTTCTTCGTTGTCTTTCCAATAAAATCTTTACAATTTTTTTATTTTGAATAAAATTTTTATCAATTTTATAGAGAATCGTTTAAATACACTGGTTAATTATAAAGTAATGAAATTAAAGACTGTCCGTGGTGTTGATGTTCAAATTTTTAGCATATAGAATTTTAGCATATGTCTTAGAAAACCTGCACTGTTTTAAGCTTGGCCTTTCTGGATTCATAATATTATCTATTTGCACTTGTGCTGGATGATACTCAAATTTTATTTGATTTTTCCAAATCTATTTTAGAAACTAGGTTTTGTTAATCTCTTATTAATCTGTCTTTAGTGTTTTTTTTTGGCAGCATAAAGTTGGCTTGTTTTGAACTAGTTTTGAGTACATTTGAAGGTCAAAAGTTTATTTTTTTTTTTTTGAACTTAAAGTACCACGATATCTTGACCCAGGGCTTAGATTTGTGGACAGACGTAGGTTGGGGTTTTATTCGAAAGAAGAAGCACATGATTTGAAAAACTGGTCAAGAAAGCTTAAGTTTATGTGCAATTTTTAAAAATTGTAGGTTAGACGATTTGGTAGATAGTAAGATTTATTGTTTGATTCCCGACAGTACTCTTACAGCTGTCTTTTCTAAATAAGCGGGCCGAAACATTGGGTGGAGAAAGTGTTACTTTTTTAAAGCTTGAAATTATGGAAATTTAACAACGCGTTTTTTTTTTTCACAAGTACTGCTTAAAAGCCTTGACATAATCATTAGGGTTTTCTTAACTTAAAGTTAAAAATAGTATAAAATTTTACTCATTTATAAAATTGTCTGTAATCTACTTAATTTTTTTGCAGCGAAAGTTATTAGTTTACAAATTCTATTTTCTTAAGGTACTCTTCCTGCAACTTTTGTGGAAAATTCAATGGTAAAACTGGTTCTACATTCAAGTTACGATGTAGATGCATATGATTCAAATTTTACTTTCTCGATAAGGACAAGGTCGAAAATCGGTCAAATCTTCTACTTGGTTGGCAAAATCATTTTCCTATTTTTTTCCTTAAGACGCTTTGAGGTTCTTTAGCTGTCAAAACCTTCACTTGAAATCAGAATAACAACGGTGATCTGATTAAAACTGTCACTGTCACAGTGAATTGTTGTTGGTTGTTGTATCTATTCGCCATTACTTACATCATTTTTTTAAAACAACAAACGGTACTCTTACAGTGACTGGGTTTTCATGCTAATACACTATAAAGTGTAATGAAGTATAGAATGCCAAACTTGCATACTGATGCGTTACTATCAGAAATGAGTTCTAACTTTTTTTCTAAGGTGCTAATTAAGAAGGGTCATTGTCGACAGCGTGGTTTTGAAAGACTAAAGTAATTTGAAAAAAGATTTTTTTTTTGTTTTGAGTTTTGTTAAGACTGACGCTATAATGTCTTTAGAATTACCTTTGTCTTTTTATTAAAAAAATTGAGACTTAGTTGGAAGTGGTTAGAAGATAGCTAATATAGGTTTTGTATCAGCTTAGTTTGGTTTTTGAATACATCTGTATCAACGGTTGTTTTAGGAGTCTAACAGAAGTCGTCTAAGCATCAATTTGAGAAACGGTCATTTTAACATTCAAGCCGCTTATGAGAACCAAAAAATTGCGATGGAAGTTCTGAATGTTGTAAATGACGGTTCGTGGCATAAACTGACCATTGCTCAAAACACAGTTTATGTTGACGAAAAGCCACTAAAAGAAAATTTTGTATTTGACGTCAAAAAAGTTGTTGACAACCCGAAAACATTTGTTGTTTTTGGCCGGT